AGGCCACCAGCAGGTGACCACCTCCATGTTGGGCGAGCGGCATTTGTAGATGTGAGGTCTGGTTGTCACGGCAACCTCACCTGCACGGGGTGGGGGTGGGGGGGGGGGCGTCCTATGGTTAGATAAATGCAATCCAGAGTCTCCAGGACATACGAACGCACGTGTTAACATTCTTATTCATTCAGCCGGACTTGAAGGGAGTAAACCATTTCAAAGTTAGCTTTGACAGTGCACGTGTTGAATTACCGCATAGCTGTCACGCGTCATCAAACACACAAGCGCCGACAGTCAGCCCACCAAGTAAAAGGTGGGGGTGGGGGGGGGGGGCGTCCTATGGTTAGATAAATGCAATCCAGAGTCTCCAGGACATACGAACGCACGTGTTAACATTCTTATTCATTCAGCCGGACTTGAAGGGAGTAAACCATTTCAAAGTTAGCTTTGACAGTGCACGTGTTGAATTACCGCATAGCTGTCACGCGTCATCAAACACACAAGCGCCGACAGTCAGCCCACCAAGTAAAATTGATTGCCATCTGCAGGCGGTGGGAACAAGGCGGCCGATACGAATTAATAAGCATCAGAGAGTCAAACAGGCAGAAGTGAAACATTATTTTTGATCACCTGGCCTCCGTTCCGTCTCGCATAAACATCAGTGTGGCCTTGATGTTCGCTTTCGGGAGAAGATTGAAGGATATAAAAGTCTGTCATTATTGTACACGGAAAGCTTTATAAGTCTTAGAATATTCATCGTTAACAAGATGGAAGGTGGGCTATCGAGAATTTATGTAGTCAAGAGTCCTGTAAACTTTATAGCGTTCATTTCTGGGGTTTTCCCCTCCATTCATGTTGGTCAGTTAAAATGCATTTATTAATTTATTTAGTATTTATTTTTCCAATTTAAAAAATGGTTAATTGATTGGTTAAAAACGGAATAAAAACTGTATCCATAAAATGTTTTACTCTGCTGTCTGCAGCCAGGTTGGCATTGGAAATGAGAATCTGTTCCCCATTGCCTGACCTGGATGAATAAAGGTTAAATAAATACATACAGAAATGTCAAAGAAACAAGTTTATATGTTGTATATGTTCAAAAATATATCAGTGTTAAGATATGGTTTTATTGTCACTGTCACTTTTATTAACACAATGTGAATTTTTCAATTCAGCGTTTTTACTAAACTCAAAAAACATATCCGAAACTACGACACCTACATCTAACAATTATTTTAATTAAATAGTTTTTCATGATTTTTTTGGAGTGGGGGCGGGGGGTGATTAACCGATGAATTGGACTGAAAAAAAATCCCATGCCTTTATTCAAAAACAGGACATTATTTCAAATTGACAGTGCAGAAAATGCCCAAACATAAATTGATTTTGCTGACTGGTTTTGTCTGTCACATCCATACGTTCTGTCAAAAAAGGCAAAAATGTTGTTTGCAATGTTGGAGTCAACACAAAGATACAACACAAAGACAATCAGTCTGCTTTCACAATTTGTTCAACAAGGTCTCTCAACGGTTAATTATCAAAACAGTTGGAGATTAATTTGATTGTCAGTTAATAGCTGCACCTCTAGAAAATACAAAAAAACCCCTTTTGAAAACCTTTAAATTGAATTCATGTTTGTTTCTCAATAGTAACATTATGCATGTTTGAAGATGATTGCTGAAAACATGCAAAAACAGAACTGCGTTGAAATGAATTGTGGAGATATGATGTTAAACTGTTTTTCTTCACCATTCCCCCCCCGCTCTCTTGTATTTACCTAAATCTTCGTGGCTCAACCATGTAGGCTGTAGAAAGTTGCTTGACAAAATTGCTTCCATTTTTCGGCTAAGTGCCATTTTGGCCATTCAGAGACAAAAAGGCTTGATTTTTTACACCATTTAATACACTTAGCATTTTTTTTAAATCATCCAAATCAGAGTAATAGTAGTTTTTGATTTTTTTTTTTATTATAATTCATTTTTATTTCGTCTGGACTTCTGTTTTTTAAAATTCAGTTAATTTTCATTCGTTTGTTTTTTAGAGCAGGTTTGTTAGTTTTTATTTTTTTTAATACCTCATTTTATTTTGTTTCAATTAGTTTTAATATTAGTTTTTGATGTTTGTTTGTTTCAAATATATGGAGAATTAGTCGAGTGCAAAATAATAAAAAAATAAATAAACAGGTCACTTAGTATGGTGTAATAAAGTAACCTACAATTCTCAAAAGACCGTTTGACACTCCAACTTGAATCTCAAAATAAATACATTTAAAATGAACCCCAACAACTCATGTATAAAACAAATCGACAAAACTTTTACTGAGCAGTGACTCTCACTTGCAAGGCATATCGACGGAGGAAAGAACGTAAGCAGCCACCTCTCAGAACCGCCTTTGTATTTGTCTCCTCCATGAGCAAGGAAGCAGCCCGCTAACTTCCAAGCAAACAGAGGCAACGCCGTGCTGGGACTCACCTGCCGCTTGTCTGTTTCCAGCTTGGCTGTCCAGTTGTTGGATTGTGTTGCCGCCCACTGAGGCGACAAGCAAGCAGAGCAACAGTCTCAGCATCCCGCAATCGTGGCACAATCTGTCAACACAAACAACAGGGACTGCTGGGAACTCTGTGGGAAAGCCGGCCGACAGCAACGGGAGCGTTTCCCAGTCATGAGACATATCACAAGGATGAACATCCCCCTGCTGACCCCTTCCTCCCTTCTTTTTGCGTTGCCAATGTTAAATCACTGTGACAGACCCAAGTCAAGAAACCCTTTCGAATCAACAAGCGTACATACTGTAAAAGCAGCAGTGGTTGTTCAAGGATTACTTCTCGGAGCTTCTCTTTGATTCTTTGAAAGTCACGCCCTATTATGTTACGTACATGTGGACTGAGCACTCCCTTTTTTTTTTTTTTATCATATCGCAGGAAGATAGTCTTGTCCAACTTGTGCATCCTCCGATTAATCAAACAACTACACCCCCACAGACACTCACTCACATAAAAAAAAAACACAACTTGTACTTTTCTGTCTAAAAATGCATTTTAAATTGGAAAAACATTTCAACATGAATTCCCCTGTAAAAGAACAAACAAAAAAAAAACACAAGTTGTATTAATTTCACTAGAAGAACAATTTACGTTGTAATAAAACATAAATTATTGCCATTCCTGGACACAACGTTAGTAAGCATAACAAAGCAGACATGTACTGGTAGTTTGCTACAAAACCATTTCCTGATTTGTTTTTCCTGATATCATCAACTTTGGCAGCCAACACAAGGAACAACAAGTCCTGTTAACTTTTATTGCCTTGTTGTGAAAGACAATTTTCCCATAACCAAAACCCAAAATAGTTGAATTATCTCACAATGTTATGAGGTTTATCTAATCGAGCATGCAGCATCCTTTATGGACGTCTTATAGGGGTTGCATGACTTCAGAAGTGGACACGAATATGATCAAACGTCCAAGCCATGTCAACTGGTCACTTACAGTATATTGTCGCTATTTTTTCAGTGCAGTCCTATAATGTGAAACAAACACAAAAACAACCCCCCAAAAATTGCAGGAGGATCTAATGCTTTGCAATAATATTCACTGACAACAGACAGTTCACACACCAAATTTATCTACGCAGAACATACACCTTTGAACACAAGATGAAGGCACACCTAATGTTGGGTGCTCGTATTTCCAGCCTGAGGCAAAAAAATTATCTGGCTGTGTCCGAATGTGCATGCTATTCCCTATTTAATGCACATTTAATGCACTATTACAGAGTTACGCCATATTGTAGGAGTGTCCGAATGTCCAGGGAGGATAAACAGAGGGTACTCAAAATTGCCCACAACACACCAGGTTCATATAGACCACAATGCATTGTGAGTAAGGAAACAAAATGGCACAAGTGAGATTCTGGGAATCTCAAAGGGTATTGTAACTACACACCACGGAAATCATTAATTATTTTTATTTCATTAAAAGATACGGCGGTCACATGATATGCAACGAGGAGAAAGTAGGGATTGTGAGCTCGGGGTCTGATTCGCCAAACAGAATGAAGGAACCACTATTAGAGGGCAACATATCGTGCGCAACTATAAAGTGAATGAGGGCTTGGGTAATAAGGGTGGACATTCGGATGCAGCCAATGTGTCACTGCAAAAGGCCAGGAAAGGCTTGCAGAACTTTCTCATTCTGGGTCTGGCTTTGGCTGGCATGCCTGGCTCTCCCTCACTGCACATTCAGAGTTAGAGGGACAAGTGAAATTAATTAAGGTGCCATCCTCATTTCATTCGGCATACTCATCAGTTGCTGCCATAACGACATCAACAACACGTCAACTGGTCTAAACGTCATTGTGGCGTAGCCAAATGCGACAGTCAGCTCGACTGCAGTGCTCTTTACGCTTGTCATGATGACGCATGGTTCATATCCTCATGATGGTCCTGATTATTTACGATGCTACACATACTGACAGTTTAATCTATTCTGTAGATACGCCCCGTAAAGCGTCGCATGCTATGCAAGCCATGCAGTCACGGTGGACAGAAACAGAAGGACACGCTCATCCACATGTTTGGTGTCAGGCGCTAGAGCACAGGGGTAAAACTCTCGACCAGCCGTTACATCCAGCCTGACACATCATTTTATGAGGCTCACTAAAGGCAAATATCAATCAATCAAACTTAAATTGTAGAGAACTTTTCATACATGACCATTTCACTCAAAGTGCTTTGCATTTGTTAAAAGTGCTCAGACAACGGGTAAGCTGCGATTGGTGGTTACCTGAGCAACTGTGAGGTCAGTTTCAGCCGACAGAAAGTGGCAAAATATGAGTCAGAATGCCGTGTTTAGACTAGTGGAGGCGCATGGATCATATCGTCAAGAATATGTTTGGGTTGACTTCTTTTTTATGGATGATCCTTGTCATTTGGTTAAAAAGTCCCTCTGTCCCTGGGCCTCATGGGTGTTTTCACTTCATGTTTCAGACAAAATTTTGTGCGAGAATTGCAAATTATTTTCACTTTTATCAACATCGAGCGATTGCCAGTGGGACCAAGGACCTTTTTTTAAAAGAAATGGCAACATTTTCCTTGACTGTAGATTTTAAATGCCGTCAATTTGTTACCTAATAATATGATAAGGCAATTATAAATGCCTGTGGTTTAATATTCACAGTCAGACAAAACAGGACTCCAAAATGAGTTTGACAGCTTTACTGTAGTCTCCAGTGTACTTGAGGTGTCAAAAGTTCATCCAGCATGTTGATATTGCCTTGTTACTAATTGACAACTCCTACAAGTGTGCTCGCGGCACTGTATGACATCACAGGCCATAAACTGACCTGCAGGGTCAAAGTATACCCATCCTTATGTTTTGCTCAATTTCCCCGTTATCTAACAATTATTCAGTTTGCTACTTAAAGTTCAACATCCAAATGCGCTCGTCAAAGAGCCTTTGTGTCCATAATAATCAAATTAAGAATTTCCATGTTCAACTGGCTGGAACGGTAATGTTCCAGCAGCGCATTTGGAAATGCCTTGACTATTGTTGACCTCTCGCTGTTTCCACTGGCAACTCATGTCACACGCTGTGTCACACAAAGGTAACGCTTGAAAAGCGATTCATTTCAATTAGCACTGGCGCCTGTTGAAAAAGCAGCAGCTGTCCCAAATAAAAAGGCAGAGAACACTGCCTGAGACTGGAAGTCGCAGATACCAAATATCATCAGCTGACGATTTGGGAGAAGATGGGAATCCTTGTAATGAGGCGGTCGGGAGACAGTCTGTATTGAGTCCACGGACAAAGCATTCCAGAGCAGAAATACTTGCGCACGGTCTTTAATCGATAGCAAATTGACTAATGTGTAAAAGGACATGAATGTCATCTGCAGACAAAGGTCTTCTGCATCAACAGGCCTGAGGCTCATTAGCGCAACTTTAGTTGGATGTCACAAGATGAAATCAGGATCACGTTGTACATACAAATATAGAAAGTGCAATCCAGCTGTGCGCGCACAAGCCTGTGCGTGTGTGCGCGCGCGCGCGTGTGTCCGCCTTGATGTGAAATCCAAATCATGCGGATGTTTTTCCTGTGAAGGAACTGCACCCCCGCTGGGTGGATTCTACTTTAGACTGATTTTCTGGTATTGTAGGAGTTGCTAGCTGAAATAAAGATGAAAAGAAATTTCGGGAAGTTCATCCCACTTCGACAAACCCACTACTAAACTACAACACGTTTTGTTTTCAGAACCAGCACTGTCCTGCTTGCTTGGACCAAACATCTCATCTTTGAAAGTATGACCACCGTGCTGATCACATGACAAAGGCTCATCATTCTTCCTTCCAGGCTGAAACATTGAAGCAACACATATTAGTGTAATGGATGCGTTGAAATGACAATGACACTTTGGTCTTTAATAAATAACTTTCATGAACTAAGTGTCCCAAATATAACTTGAAATGGCACTTAGGGACACAATGGCTCACTTTGTGGGTGTTTTAGATGGAAGCTCCACAGAGCCAGTGCTGCTAAAAGAAGGTTCAGAACAGTTTATGCATGAACAGAGACCTGTGCCATATACAGTCAGCTTGCAATGTGTGGAGAAGCTTCATGTAGCTCATTACGCAGCACATTTCAGAAAATGTCATCCAGCTGTGCTCTTTATTCCGCAAGTCGCCTTTGTGATATGGGCAGCGAGGACGCTGGGAATCGCAGAGAAGACATCGAGAAGCGCTTACCGGAGAAAGAAGAAGTCACTTGATCTGGGCCACTCAGAGGAGAAACCTCAGAGAAGACACCAAGAATCTCGGAGATGAAACTAGAAACCAGTGAGAAGATTTACTCAAAAGCAGACTATGGACTTTTAAAGAAGCCACTCTGAGTTGATGACCTACAAACAAAATGCACTTACTAGGCAATGACTCGATAATTGACAGGGATGGCTTTGAATTATCATTAATGACAACAAGGAAGGGCGGGGGGCTCCAAAGTTACATCACCTTTCCAACAATTACAGCCGACCAATTGTTATTAAATGTGGCAATGGTTCGTCTGTTAAATAACTGATTTGGTGACGTTTATGAAGTCAACTGGTAAAGCAGGTGAAGGACGCCAATCAAGTGGACCCACCTTGCCTGTAGAACAATTGCAGAAGCGCCCGTTGCCTCTTTGCAGGTACAAATTCCTCAAGTCCGTTCCCCCGTTGATGCAGCGGCAGAGCGGCTGTTTGGCTCAACTCAACTCTCAGAGGAGCTCAGCCCGCGCGCGCGCGCGCCTCACTAACTACGCTTGGTGTGCGCGTGCTCGCGTGGGCGTGTTCAGTGCGCCGGCGTTTGATGCATTGGACGCGTCTTAATAGTCTCCCATCAAAACGGAACCATGATGTCCACGTGATTCTCCCGCCTTCCACAATCACCAAATGAAGATTCCAAGTAGTAATTTTCCCCCCTCTTATTTTTCACAGCACCAAATTCTGCCAATTTAACAGAGTTGTGTTGACTTTTCAAATCGCTGTGAATGACTCATCAGTCAAAGAGGACATACTTGCGGATAGAATGAATGATGAAATGAATATTACAAAGGTAACACTTGAAATCCATTTTCTGTACTCCCTTTCGAGGGTCTCCCTGGGAGTTGTGCATAGTGAATCCATGAATCCCTGTTACCGCCACCCAGTCAGCAAAGGCATCTGGCCCGGCTTCGGCATGAAGCCGGCACAGCTGGCCTGGTGTCGGCAATGGCATAACGCATGTGGGCCGAACACGGCCCAGGCGTGGCAAAGGAGGCACTGGCTTGACTCTGGCAAACCAGATGAGGGCCGGTTGTGGCGTGAAGTATTTGGGCCAGAAATGTATTTCCAACTCCGGCCCGAATATGGCCAGCCAGTATTGAGCCACTCCTAAATGCAGGTT